AGATAAATCAGCGGCTCGGTGTGCTTTCTGCAGACTAGCCTATTGCATTTAATGTTGGCGTCAACAATGTATTTGATGCAATTTATTTGCCAGTAAATTGTGTGCTGTCACTGAATCTCCAGGAACTCAAAGCACACCTGACAAGGTAAGAAAAAAAAAAGTTCCTATTTCAACAGATATCTGACTGTCTTGATCAAACTGTTGATCAAACATTCAGCTTAGCCGCTCTTAAAATAACTGCTATATTTAGATTGTAGCTCAATATCATATCACATGCTGAAGCTTTTTATTTAGTGATGTGATGATGCCTTTTAATAACTGTCAAGTGATACACTCAGTTTGTCATTATTCATACTGTCGGCAGATGGCAGGAGGAATTTTCACCAGTTTGGATAATCTGTGTAATGTGGATGGTACAAATGTCCACCCCCTGGTGTGTCACCTGTGTGACGAGCAGTACAAGTCCCCATGTCTGCTGGATTGCTATCACATCTTCTGTGCCCACTGCCTGCGAGGCCGGACCAGTGACGGCCGTCTCAGCTGCCCCCTCTGTGGGTAAGACATAGCACTTTGAGGTTGATCCGGATCAATTTAGGCTGCATACAGATTGTCAGTCTTACAATGCCAAAGTCTGTCATTTCTGAACATCCTGCAAAAGTGAGAAGTTTATGTTCTTTATCTCCACACTCAAATTCCATCACAGACTGTTCTAGCTTTCCAAGGAAATATGTTGCCATGTACTTAGGATAAGTAAATAATCCCTTAAAAACATGAAGATCTAAAACAACTTTCTGAACTAAAAGGGTTGCTGAATACCGTGCCTAATATGATATCTGAGCCTGGCTATCACACCTGTGGTACTAAGCCATTAATCCCCAAACAAACTGACTAACTGTTTTGGTTGCCTCTAAAACCACTCAGTTTGAATTACAACCTCTCACAGCTTGTATCACGAGGATATTTGGTGATGCTGTGGGTTCAGCTGCGCAAATATGATACAAATGTTACTACAATAATATATATATATATTTTCTCCTTCCTACCCCATGGAGAGGCAAACATTTTGTGTTGAAAGCCAAATATTTTCCCACAGGTCCCAGTTTCGGGCAGTGTTGCCCAAAGGGATTCGTTCCACATAATTTGATTAGTAGATTGGTTTGGTTCATGCAGGAGCTTTAAGGAGAATCCAATTAGTTTCAGAGCACATCAAGTCTCTTTGGTTTGGTTTTAGCGGGCTGCTCAGCGGGCCCATTGCTGGCCTGGTGTGGGTATGGAGCTGGACTGAGTGGCTGGGGGAGCAGCCCAGTCTCTGATTTAGCCCTCAGCAGGGTCAACAAGTTTGGCTAAGACCAGTCACACAAGCAAAGTGTACTGGCATTTGGCACTGGTGTCTGCAGCTTAGGGCGATCAAAAGCAGGCACTTGGTTCCAATCCATTTCACCCCCTGTTAAGGAATGACAGATGGTTTACAATCACCTTCAGGCTTCCAGTCACTACATTATTCTCAGCAGCTTATATAATGTAACATACTGTATATTTTTTAGATGTAGTTTCACACTGAGAATCACATAAAAACCTCCTAGCTCCTAATGATCTGTGTTCTTTTCAAATTTCCACATTATACTATGAGCTAAGTATTGTGATTTACATTCATCTGCCTCACAGTGTTAAGGTTCATCATATGTGTCAGCAGCCTAAGACAAAGTAATGGCTAAGTAACCTGTTTTTAATCATAGTCCAAAGTATTCCGAAATGAGAGGGGAAAACCCAGACAATCCTTGGTTTTCTTTGGAAAGTAGGCACAGAGTCTGTGAGCTCTGCTGTCTGGGCTCAGGCTAAAAAGACCTGCTGCCTGGCAGCTACTATTTCCAGCCGCAGGCGCCACCCCCAGTCCAAAGTATTCCGAAATGAGAGGGGAAAACCCAGACAATCCTTGGTTTTCTTTGGAAAGTAGGCACAGAGTCTGTGAGCTCTGCTGTCTGGGCTCAGGCTAAAAAGACCTGCTGCCTGGCAGCTACTATTTCCAGCCGCAGCCGCAGCCTGCAAACAGCTGCTCACTCAAGAACCATGTAATCTAGGAATTCACTAGTCTGCTATTAGTAGAACACAATAGATCCCCGTTGCCATGAAAACTAGATAAAACACACACAGTAGAGGGGGCGAGGAGTATTTGCATCAATGCAGCTGAATTAGAATTAGGCTAACAGCCTAAGGTTTAAGTCAAACAGGCCTGCAAAAAAGCAGTTAATGTGACAGGAAACCACTTCATTGCATCTTCCTCTATAGCCTCTCCTCTGCTTATTGTAACTAGATTTAACAAACTACTACAGGTGAGATAAGTAATAAGTAAGATAATTATTTAGCATCAATAATAAATATATTCAAATAGTAAAGAAGCCAGTTCTGCAAGCCAAAAAAACAAGCTTTGGTTTTTGTCTGATATTTGTTAGTGGATAGATACCTTGGCGTTTTGGACATGGATGGTTGGATAAAACAAGCTACTTTAACTTCAGTATAAAATGTTTTAATTAATATTGAAAACATTCACAAGTTGCTCTAAAATGTTCTTATTCTACAGGGAAACTGTCCTGTAAATTGCTATGTAAAAGCATCCATATTTTAGAAGCATGTAATTCAGTAAATCTGTGTTTATAGTACACAGATTCATAGATTAGTGCAGAAATTAGTCAGAATTTCAAATACAGCAGCAAACCATCTTCTAGTATCTTCAAAATCAAAGAGCAGAGCTAAACTATCAATGTAGATATCACTTCATTGAGATGTTATGGTTACAGGTGTGCAAAAAGATTCATCTGTCACACAGTGTGTGGTTCACCGGCTTAAAAAAATCCTTTTATTCAGCTACTACAGAGCGCCATCTTCTGGGATGTCACAAGAATGCATAACTGAACTTCAATAACAGAAGCATCTCTTTCTTACTACTATACAAATCAAGTGACTTATGGAAACAACCATGCACCCAGTGCTTAAACTTAAAATGTATTGAAATATGAGGCAATATTACACAGGTCTTAGGGCAAAACAGAAACTACTGACTCATCAAGTCTGTTCAGAATAATCTAGTTGTTCAGTTTTTCTCTTGATATCCTTCAGTCCTCATGTCATTCAGACCGAGCTCTTCATTCTGCTCAAATGAGCGGGTGTACTTCTCGACAGTCATCTCAGGATCTGCCTCTGGGGCGTACACATTCTGCAGATAGCTATTTCCCACTGGGTCATCCAGGATAATGTGGGCATTCAGTTCTCCTGCGATAATTTTGTCCAATTTCTCTCCAAACTCTTTCAGCTTCTGTACCCGATCTGTGCTGCAGCTGTCCCCGTGGACAAAGGGGTTTTTGCCCACGATCAGGTCTTTGATGTCGCTCAGCAGCCCCTCCACAGTGGTGAACTTTCCCCCCAGAGCTCCCATCCCCAACTCAAACTCCAGCTCTGGGATTATGACAGCACATGTCTCTGACTTGAGTACATCTCGCGTTACGTCTGAAGGGTCGGTGATGTGCAGGGTGATCCTAGTGCCAAGCTCCTCCGTGGCTCCACCTGACTTCACCTCATTGGTCCGGTGGCCACAGCTGTCGCAGTTAGTGGCCATGATGATGACCTCCTTGAAGTGAGGGATCTGGACAAGCTTCATGTTGGTGGCAGCTGGCGCATTGCATTCTGGGCAGTTGGTGTTGAAGACCAGCACTTCATTTCTCATGGTCTGCAGGTCACTGCCTGCTGGCTCCTCATCCTGGTCATCATCAGGTCTGATTCCCAGCTGCACGTCCTGCTGGGCTGTCCGCTTGAAGTGGGAGATAGTGAGATTCTCATCCTTCTGAGGGGCAACTGGATTCTCTACATAACTGTTGCCTGACGGATCCTCTATCACCAGAGTGAATTCATTTTCAACATCTTTTAGCTTCCTCAGCTTCTGGATGAAGTCATCTATCATCTCAGCAACCTTAGGGTCATTCGCTCGTCTGACGGGTTGGTCTTGCTCCAACCCTGAAACTGCTCGGTCTAAAAGTCCCTCAACAGTAGAAAGTGAGCCTTTCTGGGTGAAGGGTGGGATTTCAAAATCCAGCTCGGGGATCCGGGTGGTTGCACTCTCTGCTTTCACGACCTCCCGGTCTAAATCCTGTTTCCTTTTGACTTTCAGCGTATAACAAACGCCTTGGTCCTGTATCCGGCCTGCAGACTGAATTTCAGTGTTGGAGAAGCCGCAGTTTCCACAGCTGAAAGAGCTGACTATTATTTCTTTAAAGAACGGTATCCTGGTCAGAAGCAAACGGGTCGTACCGTTCTGGTAGCAGTTCATACACAGGCTCTCGATCTCCGTCGGCTGCACGTCTTCGTCATCGGCGCTGATATCCTTGAAAACACTCCCGCCGCGCACATTCTCCTGGGTAATGGCAGACATTTCGGAGCCCGAATACGTTTCGCTAAAAACACAAACTGTTAAACGCACTGTCTCTACTCGTTCTGTGTTGTCTTCAGCTGGAACTTTCTAGATGATAAACCACGCTTCGACGACTGAGCTCATCGTGTTTCATAACCTCTTCCGCATTTTCTTCTTCGACGGCAGCAGTGTCCTGGACGTCACTGCTGTCCCCTCAGGGCTGCGGCAGTACTGCACCGCCAACTGCTGCAAAGAGGCAGCGCCAATGATTTTAGAGATACTACTGTATATAATTAAAACAATTTATTTATATGGAGCACTGAATTGTATATTGTATTCCTATTCAAAATTAACTCATTTTTATCTTTCATTTTCCTCTTTATAAGTCATTTTTAGATTTCTTCTTTTATTGTTTTTATTACATCTGCTAACAATCTTTAATGTTTTAATACAACATTTAAGTACCATGTTGTTGGAAGGCGATATTCACATAAATTCGCTTTGCTTTGCCAATAAAATGAACCATATACAGTAATTTTGGAAAAATATACATAATTAGAAACATTTTGGGGCTTGAGGACTTGTAGACTTGTCCAGTTGTGACGTGGATGCTGTACCTTGTGGTTTTGGTTTGAAGTGGTCATATGAAAATCAGCTGCTAGCATTTAGGGATTGTTTTTCTCCCATTTCTATTCTTCTTTTTTTTTATCTTTGCTTGGGATGGACCTCAGAATTGCTGGATTTATGCTCTTTGCATACGTCTTGCATAGATAGATGTATGTGGGCATAATTTCATAATAAATTGTTGTTGTTATACACCTTTTTACCAGAATGGGTGGTTTGATTTGTTTGCAGTTGGAGTGGTCTGGTTTGATTTTGTGTCTCTTGTCATACACTGATGAAATATAACCTTCCCATAATTAAACAGCATTAAGCTGGTAGTGTACAACAGCAGTACAAGAACAAATCACTTTTCACTGCACTTTCATTCTTCATTTTTATCACATCAAACAGTAATAATTAAAGATTGAAATATTACTAATTTGAAGATAAATGTCTGGATTTTCACTAAATGTCCCCCAAGCCATTTCATCTTTTGTCCTTTACCAAAGATATTTATCCACGGTAAAAGGGAATAATGGACTCCCACCAGAGGATCGTCTGCTGAAGTTCCTAGTTGACAACAATGCAGACGCTGAGGAGACAGTTCAGTGTGCCAACTGTGACCAGGAAAGTAATAAAACGGTACTAAAACACTTTACTTTGTGCAAAGTTTTAGTGGCATGATAGCATCATCAACAGATACTGAAAGAATATGTAGGCGAGACACAGACAGAAGATAAATGAACACTTATGAAAGCTTGACCATGAAGTGTTGGTGACTCAAAATCAAATGTTAACGTACATAGCTTTAAACAATAAAACCATGACATTACAACCATTATATACCCTTTCTGTACAGGACACAGTGGTGATGTACTACTGTAACACCTGCAGCCAGCCACTGTGTGGCGCCTGCAGGGAGCTGACTCACAAAGCCAGAATGTTTTCCCATCATGAGATTGTTTCCCTGGCCAAGAGAACCAAAGCTAAACACAGGAAGTGCTGTGAGTGCCACCTGTAAATTAATTCTGCAGCATTACAGGCCAGCAAGGTTTTATTACACCAGTACAGAAGAATGTTGCTTGTAAGCTATGGCCCTCCTGTGTTCTGTCAGAACTTCCTGGGCTGTAATGTTAAGTGCTAATCTAGCACTTCTGTGCACTGAAGTTAAAAAGCATCTGTGTCTCTGCAGCTCTCCATGAGGAGCCCTACATCCTGTTCTCAACTGAAAATAAGTCTATGCTTTGCATCAAGTGCTTCAGAGACATGCAATTGTGAGTGAATTCACCACACAAAATGCATGACTTTTCTCTTCTCCACATTAAATGAGATGGTCCTTGTTTACCACAGGGAGAGTCGGACTCACTGCATTGATATTGAAACAGCTTACATGCAGGGTTGTGAGATGCTGGACCAGGCAGTGCTGGTAAGCGAGTCCTGTTTGTTAACATACATATGTGCAACATTCAAGTTAAACATTTAGCATTTAAATAAGTCAAGGATGTAGCTGTGGTGATGAGAATGTGATAATGTGCAGTGTAGGTGCACTCAAATGATCTTTTAGCTCATTATAGTGCATTTTGAATATATAAACATATAAATGAGTGCAAATGATTTGAGCATTTCTTAATTAGCTGTCATTAAATTAAAATAATGTTTGTTCATACTTCACTACTCATGCTAGTTTTAGTTACCAGTAAATCTTTATCATCCCAGTTTACAGTATAAAAGAAAACCGAGTACACACCTGTGCAATGTCAATAAAATGATTCAAAACTGTATAATCTTACAATTGTTGTTTCAGCCTTCTCTGAGCATGACATTACAAAGCTTTTAATGATTGATGTCAAACGAGTAGTAGACAATGGTTCTTTCACTGACAGCCAGCTTCCTCCGCCCTCTGTAGGTGGTGAAGGAGCTGCAGACCTCAGCTCGAGAAGCAATTGTCCTGCTGAGAGCGATGATAGGCGAAGTGTGTCTGAATGTGGAGGAAGAAGAGAGTGCAATCTGCAGCCTGTTCAACAGCCTGCAGGTAACATAATGACCCTGATGCGACACATGTTGTCTGGGAGAGGGGTAAAGGGGGGTAAAGGTCGTAAAGCACTTTATAATTCAATAAATACACATTGTTTGTTATAATATTATACATTACAAAAACATCAAGACTGTGATTTACCAGAAAACCCCTACTCATATGGAACACATTTTGTGTTACTACTATCTACCCTAACATTCATTTATGTTACCACTAAGGCATGTGGACAGCTATCCACAAAAAGCAACATCCAAAATGTGTCTGTATCTATCTCTCTGTCTAATCTAATTCAGATGTCTTGGTGGCAGAGTGTGAAGTGTAAAGATGTAAAACTCTTCCATTGGAGAAGAAGAAATGTGTACATCTCTTCCTCCTCTTGGGGTTATACCACACTTGATACAGTACCAACATTTTGACCTGAGAAAGATCCGACTGGGATTGAAACATTTCCCGTCTGGAGTCAGTGTGCTGGTGTCATGCTGACTTCCAGCAGTGTGATGTAATGGTTTCCAGTGTTTTCCCTAATCATTACAAACATTTACATCATTTCAAAAAGCTGCTAAAGTACCATTTGAAACAACATTTGTCCCTGCCCCTCAGCATCCCAGGTGAATTCAACTTGCGTTAGGTCTGTTTAGAAAAAGTTATGTCAACTACGAACAAGTAGACTAAAGTGAATTTTTCAGATACTTTTGGTTTTTGAGACGTCTGGTGTTCACTGTCTATGTGTTAAATTTAACGAGTCTAGTCTAAGTTAACAATAAGACTCATATATTCTTTTGCTGTGTCCCAAATTTGTACTAATGCTATAGAGAATGTACTACTACTGTATTACTCGTTGTCAGTGTGTACTATGTTATCAGTTAGTATAGAAGCATTTCAACATACATTACCACTTAATACTAGCAGGAAATGATTCACTATGTGTGACATCTGTGGTCAATCACATGACTTTGGAATATCACTTCAACTAAACTTCACAAAAAGACATCAACATATTTTTCCCTGGATTCTAATATTTTTGGAGCTGCTTTCACACAATTAACAATTTATTTCAATTTTTCCAATTTGTGGCAGCATAGTGTGCATCAACAGCTCACTAAGAAATCAACCATATTCAGCAAGAATGTCTTTTTCACTGAGTCTCTAGTCCAGTGTGAACACACTACACAGAATCAGTATGGATGTGGGACACAGCACCTCCATGGCCACTGGATGTCCCTGTTAACTTAAGTTTGAGAGACGAGTGCTTTGCATGATGAACAATCCCAGATCGCAGACACCACACTGTTGAATTTCTGTCTGTTTTTTCCACATACTCTTGAAAATTCATTAGGTATTAGAGAGCTCAAGGGCATTTTCACAGCAGTGTAAATGGGCTGTGTTCTCTGTCGTTCTCTGATAGGAAAAACTAGCAGAGAGGAAGAAGATTCTGCTCAAAGCAGCTCAGAGGTAAAAAAAAAGAAATATATAAGGATTTACAGTCCTTATTTGGAAATGCTCTTTTATTGCCATTGTATTTACTAAATTGAATGCTATTATCCTCCTGTCACTGGGTTACTTGATACCTTTTCCATTGTATCAGGAAGCTTTGTATTTCATGTGATGAAGAGCAGCACCTTGCTTGCTCTGGAATAATCTCTTTCCTCACCAAACATTTTCATTTGAACAAGGCATGGTGCTGAATTAAAACCACTTCAGTGGAATAACATTTGTATACCTGCAGCACGTGTGGCCCAATCAATGAAAATGAGGCAAAGTGAAAGGGGTTGGTATACAACTATACAGCATATGAACAACTGCTGCTGACTGGATGCAGGCTTCAGATTTTGTGCAGTACATTTTGCACCAACTACTGAAAAATGAGGAACTTGCATCTGTTGCAGCACCCATTTACTGTATGTGGTGTCAAGCCTTTTTTCAGCACAGTATATTGTCCTGCAGGACCATAACTGCAAAGTGATTTAAAAAAAAAAAAGAATACATTACCTTGCAATAAGTGCCTAGTGTGAGGCTTTGAAATCATTCATTTACAGTAGCATACCCTGTAAGTATGCAGCCACTGTGATAACTGAAGCTCCTACAACATGCCAACAGGAGTCAGTTAAGTTTGACTTAATGTCTTCTAAGGTTTGCCACTGACGAGTCTTTAAGATCACATTATTACATATCAGTTACTGTAGATATTACAGAAATGGATGGTACTGGAAGATGAACAAACATCTTTGTTTCCACATTCTCTGTGAATCTGTAAACCTCCATTTCCTGTCAGCAAGAGTCTGAATCAAAACCATTTCTGAGCACTTCATGTCCTGTATGCATGGCCGTGATTGAATGAGAGCAATTTTGTGCATGTGATTGAACAAGTGGATCCGGTTGCACTCTGTGGGGATCTTTAATGAAATTTTTTTTGTGCCCCGTGTCATCCATCTCTCTGTCCCTCTTTCTACATTGCCTGGAAGTCATCCAGTGACTGGGTTCCTGGAAGGGTGTTAAGGTCTATTTATGCCCATCTTTGTGTGTCCGACCCCGTGTCTCTCCCTGTGTGTTTGTTATGGGAGAAGACAGATAGAGCAGATTAGCTTCTGGAAATATGGAGCTTGTGGTTGCATCTCCTGAGCTGAATCCTTTGAGTATTTGGCAGGCGTGGATGGTTTAGTGTTACATGCTGTTTGTGTCTGCAGTCAACATGAGGAGAAGGAGAAAGCACTAAAGGAACAGCTGTCACACCTGACGGCCCTCCTACCAACCCTCCAGGTAGAGTCAAATAAAGACCTGATGATAAATATTAATAAGTGGTTACAAAAACAGCTTCTAACATACAGTATTTATAAGTACAAATCCTGCAAACGTCTACTTTGATAAAAGTACAGAAGTATTCTCATCAAAAAGGACTTTATATAATTATCAAAAGTAAAAGTTCTGCAAACCAGTGAGAGTGGTAGGTTATTACATATGACAATATTAGATTGAAAATACTGATGCAGCAGTGTGTAAGCAGAATTTTATTGTCATAGCTGGTGGAGCAAGTTCGAAATACACTGTACAAAAAATTCATAGTTTTACAGACTTTTCATATATATTTGACAAATTTTACTTTTATTTCCAACATAATTAAAAAAAATCATGCCAAAATTAAAATAACAAGAAAATCTTGTAGATGTGAGTTACCATAAAGTTCAAATAAAAAAAAAGATTTTGTTTTTCACATAAGGCTTAAAATAGTTACAATTTCATAGTAATTTTAGAAATATTTACCATTTACTCTTCCCAGGCTTCCCAGAATGACCATCATGGTTTGCATAATTCCTTTAATATTATATAAAAACATATTGTCCTAGATTTACTTTAACTGTATTACAGACACAATAAGTTTCCACAATGAATGGGTTTGTCAAACTGAAAAAGAAAGAGTAAGTGAAGAGTCTTAACTCTCACACAGTGCATGCTGGGAAGCCCGCTAGTTAAATTATGAAACAGTAAAAAAGAAATATTTGTAAAATTACTATGAAATTGTAACTATTTAACTTTTTTATCTGAAAAAGGGAAATCTTCCCTTAATTCTGTAAAACTAAGAGTGTTTTTACACTGAACATTAGCTACTGAAGGTGATGTAGGATGAATGTAACGTGATGTAAATACGTATGGGTTTGCCGCTGTCTCATATTCCATCCCTCACCTATGAAACGTAGCCTTCAGCCTCTGATGTTTTTAGGTTCACCTCGTCACCTGTTCGGCCTTCCTCAACTCAGCCAACAAGTTTGAGTTTTTGGACATGGGCTATGTGAGTACAGCAACAATTGGAGGTTTATTATTATTATTGCATGTCATAGGGTTATTTTTTAATATTAATACAGAGTTACAGCGCTACATGCAGGTAAGAACGAAGGAGAGGGCAGGAAAGGGGAAAATGTGTACAGGAAACCTAACAAAGTCTAAAAATTCACATCAACAACTGGACAAAAAGTGTCAACAAAAATGAATAAATTCAACAGAGTCGAAGTGTTGACGCACTGTGTATACCTTGATGTACACACTATGAATGACACTTTCCATTATCAATGAGTCTAAAACAAGCCTGTCCATTGTATATAACAAAGGACACTGAAGGAGTTCTGAAGAACTTTTCTTGGCAAGAGCAATGTTTCAGTATTAGCTGGTCTGAATGGAGGCTACCTGTAGTCTCTCAGTGAGGTGAAACCAGTCACCCAATCACACCCAGATGTTCTTGCTCACACAGCAACTCATGGAGAGGCTGAAGAGGATTGTAAAGCTCCCTCATCGACTGAGACCGGTGCAGAGCAGCAAAGTGAGTGGAAACAGCCTTCACACTCAGACAAAAGACGGGTTAATGTTAATGTATAGTAAAAGACAAAAACAGGCAAAACAACAAAGCTCTTATATTATGGAGGATACAGCATAAATGAACCTAGTGAACCCACTGTAGAACACAGACCTACTGTACAAGCAGGACAACCACAACGTACCAAAAACAAGACTATGAATATCACAAAGAACCTTTTACTATAGTTTTATAGGTAAAATCAAAGGTCTCTTTGCTTACACTATACAATCGTTTAACAAACCAAGAAATCAATCCTAAACAGCTACGAACCGAAAATCTGGTAGCATCAAAAAATGTTCATTAGGTTTGAAAGTTCACCTAAAACCTTGAGAAAAGCAGCTTGACTAAATAACTCAAGGCCCATTGAACTCCAGAGCCAAGAAGAAGCTAGTAACCAAACCTTGAGATAAAATGATTTTGTCAAAAATCTTTTTCTGTGGCAATGTTTCCCTGTTAATCAGTCGCTGCTGCAGTGTTTTTCCACACGGAGCTCAGCTGGTGCTGCTGACAGAACCAAATGCAGAAAATGGAAAAGATCTGAGAAACACAGTCAGTATTTATCATTGTCATTAGTGATAAACAAGTCAATTATTGTGTAATAAATACTGTATAGTAAATCAGGAGCACATAGATGGGTTTTAAGTCATAGGAAAAAAACAGCAGAAGAGCTTCAGTTTCCTCTTTTGATGTTTCCATGTTTGTGATGGTGAACACTGTCTGACATGTCACCAGGTTCAACTCTGATCTTTGCCACATCCATAGCATATTTATAACATCACTTTCATTCTCATAAAATCATTCAGTGACCCCCAGTGCCCTGTATGAAAGCATCTACATACCTTATGTTTCCCTGCTCAGGTTTGGCCTTTCATTTGACACCTGTCTCTAAACAAAAACGTCCCAGATCTAAGCCAGAATCTTTTAGGCTTGTTTAGTGATTTTCTTTCATTTCTTTTTCTTCTAAATGCTGATAATGAGAATAACAATTACACCATTGTTAGTAATATTTGTCATATTGCTACTTCTTAAGGTTTCTCTTCTTTCCATTATATTGTAGGGTTCACTGTAGAAATGGGTGTGAATCTGGCATCACCGAGCTTTCTTTCTTTCTTAGATCAACACAGACTACAGAAACGAGTTCGCCCGCTCTCTGGAGCCCTTGCTGCTGCTGGGACAGCGCTGCCCCCCCTCTGTTGCTGGATCTACATGTGTTGCAACAAGGTAAGATCACCAACCCAACGTCAGTGACCCAGCTGCCAAATACCATTTGAATGTAATCACTAAATGATCCCTTCCTGTAAGGTTTTATTTTACAATGTACTTCTAATGCCTGAACACTGCCATGACATCTTCTAGATTCTTCCAAGAAAAGGAAAAAATTCTGGGCAGAAAATTTCACACTTGTGAAGCGTCCAAACTTAAAATCCCCACATGGTTTGCAAGTACAGATGGTAGACAGCGCAGACTGCAGCATGAAGGAAAGAGGCGCCACACTGAGTCCCACTGTGGCAGCCATTCTGTCTGTCTATAAGCTCTGTACACTGATATGTTTACGTAAGTCACCTTGTTGCATGGGGGCTTGGAAGGAGGTTTTGGAAAGCTACGGTTCTGCTGGGGCCAGGACAGGAACAAAGCCGCTACCGTCCGAGAAAGGGATGGATGAACATAGATGTATATAGTCACAGCAGTTTCCTGTTTGATGTCTTGTTTTATATAGATATCCAGTTTGTTTGCCACCAGAAAGCAAAACATCAGAGCATAAACAATACAATCTAATCTTTTGACAATTCTATTAACTCACCAGTAAATATTCTCTTTATGTAAACACCCATTAGAACAAAGATTGTCCCTTTTCCTGTGCCTCATGTCCCTCCCCACATACACCCACTCCCATGACAGATTCTTTGCCACATCAGTGTCTCCCAACTGTTCACAGGTCCTTAAGCCCACCCACTAATGCCAACACTGATGACGCTCCTTTCCAACATGTTTAGCACCCTGCTTGTGAAAGACGTAAAGTGGGCTGGGATCGGTGACGGACCGGCTGGCACTATTTTTATCATAATTTCACAGAACTCTCCAGGATTCATCTGGAGGTTGGCACGCAGAAGCGGTGGGGCTGCTTTGTTCCAGGTCACTGATGTCAATGCTTTAGCTCTTTAATTGGCATCACTCGTTGGGAGGCTGAGAGGATGGCATGTGTATGGCAGAGAGAGGAGCATACATGTTTTAGACAAGTCTTCTGTTGCATCAACAGTGGGCAAGAAGGCAGGGCCCAGAGCCTACCAGATCCCAGGTAAATGTCTATATATTTTATTTATCAATCTTAAGTCTTTGCAGTTTTGTGGAGGTTCAAGTAAAAGACTTTTAGAGAGTAAACTAGAAGTGAGACCAGAGGCAGGGTCACAGCCTGGCTGTCTTTGCTTTTTGGTGAATTTCTGTTAATGCCATTGGAAAAGTGAGATGACAGTAGTTACACAAGGTGCTTGACTCCACCATTTTTCTAGTCCACCTCATACAGCAGTTCAAAGATGGGGATAGAAATAAGCTTTTCCTCACCGTATGGTATTTCAGAGCGCCGCCCACCTGGTATCAGCTTGTTGCTCAGCGCGACTGATTGTGTTGCTATGTCTGATGCATCCTCAGTTGCTGTCACAGAGTTCCTTTTCCCACTTGTCAGCCACTATGCAGGATGCAGACCGGGCAGAGACTGGTGGACGGCTAGCTTTTTGTTATCATAATTTCACAGAACAGAAGCTGTACAGATGAGTTCCTTCATGTAGCTGATGCTATTGCTGTAGCACTGTCAAAGTCTTTAATTGGCTGTGCTGGGACACAACCTGGACGCTCAGAGGATAGCGCTGGTAATGCAACGTCAGAGGGATTTGTTCACATCTCCACTGTTGCAGAATGTCTTCATAAAGCAGGACTGAGGTTTTACTAGAGACCAGATAAATGTAAATGTATGTTTAGTCTTGGTGAAGGTAATGTGAGTGTTCTGACTGACAGCACAAGCTCTCTCTACTGTCTGGTGTGTTGATTCACTTCATGCACATGACACAATGAGCAATGATTGAAAAGTTTCTTTTGAATTACTCAGAACTGATAGTAGTGAAATCAAAACTTAATTGTCAATCAACTCAAAGTCAATAAATGAAAGTTCATTTGATGTAAAAGAAAAGTTTGACCTCTTTATAACAGAGAGACAGACACTACCACTGAGTTATTCTTGAGGGATCTACAAAGAAAAGTTAAACAGAGAATATGGTTAGATTAGATTTTCTATAGAAAACCATAGTTGTTTATCTTGCATATAAGATCGAGAGCCATAAGTGGCAGTGAATATGAAATTCAGGTTGTGTTTTCTTGCATATAGAATGCACCAGTGCCCTGCTGCTAGCAGCGACAGCTCAGGGAGCCAGTAACTGGAAAAACAGAGTAGACTCCAAATAATATGCACATGTATTCAGTTCTTAGTTTTTTTTAAGAGTATGTGAAGAAAACCTGCACATATGAGCTTGTTTATATAATATTTATATAGTTTAAGTGTAGAAGCTGATGCAAGCAATAGTGTTATTGATCAGTTTGGTCAATAACAGGGTTTAGTGTATTTACATACTATGAAGCTTTAACCCTTCTGTGGTTTGAGAGACAGGGGTTGGCTACAAGTAATATTTTGTTGGTGGCAAATAATGCCATTCAATTATTAGTGAGAGAAACAAGTCAGCTGTCATGGTTTTTCCCCTCACCACAGGCTCCAGTCCCCTCTCTCCATGACCTGCCGCTCCCCATCTCTCAGTGACATGCCACTGGGCTCTGTGCTGGGGCGAAGACCCACTGCTCACCGCAACATCTGCACCAAGGTCCTCCTGGCCGAGGGGAGGGAAACACCCTTCACCGAGCACTGCCGCAACTATGAGAACACCTACAGGGTGAGCAGCACTGTGACATGAAGTCGATTTACAGGCACATTTCTGGCAATTACTTCATGTGTTTATCAAGAATATTATTTTATAAACTGACAGAAAGTGTATAATGAATTGCACTCACAAGGAAGTTGTAAGGAATTCACTGTTACTATAGAACCATAATCTAAGGTCAAACTTATTATTTATTGGGATAAACTGACTGGAAGTAAGATGCTGTATGTATTAAAATGTGAGTTTATGTTCATAGTTTATTTATAAATCTCCTGTGTTGCATGTGCATGGTTAAAACTGCTGCAGACTTTTCTTCATGGGGTCCACAGCAGTCGATGAGAAGCCATCTCTGATCCTCAAAATAAAGCAGTGAAAAGGCAGCATCATAAATTCTTCTGCAAACTCATTCTCAGCCTGTCTAGTGGGCAACAAGCTTCTCATGCTCAGCTGCATTTCAGCTAGCATCTGCACATCCATCAAATTTGTGCTGTGTTAAAGACACTGAAGCACCTTTTAAGTTTCACATTTGGATGTGTGTCTTCTTAGACTCTTCAGACAGAGTTTCAGAATCTGAAGGACCAGATTCAGGAGCTGCACCGAGACCTGACCAAGCACCACTCCATCATCAATACAGATAAAATGGGAGAGATCCTGGACAGATCGCTGCACATTGACAGCCAGATAGCAGCCCAGTACTCCACTGTGGAAACTATGAGAGTCATGTTTGAAGAGGTGCGTCAGGTTAATGTTCTGGCCTAGCTCTGTCGGGCACTTCTGACAAAATGTTTTCTACATTTGTCATCAGTCAGTGCACCTAGCTGCATGCTAACAAGCTAGTTTTCAGCCACCGCTATAAATGTTGCCTGCTGGGAATGTAAACACAGGAAAAAGAAGAGTAGCAAATGTCAAAGTGTGCCATGGGTTGACTGACCTCAGTTCAGTTAATGTTTCATTTTATGAGACCAGTTTTCCTTCACAGATCTGGGACGAGACTTTCCAGAGGGTCACGAATGAACAGGAGATCTATGAAGGTTTGTCTTTAAAAATCACATTAAAATACACATTTATATTTTTCTCATGTCTGGTCTGTTTCTCATTTCATATATTGATGCTATTATAATCTTTTTTTTTTATTATTCCAGCCCAGCTTCATGACCTGATGCAGCTGAAACAGGAGAACTCCTACCTAACCACTATCGCCAGACAGATCAGCCCTTACATCCTGTCCATTGCCAAAGTCAAAGAGAGACTCGAGCCCAGGTGTTCTATTCAGAAGATGTATTACCTACTTACTGTGCGGTCCATCTGCTGCCATACTGGCTGACTGATGACACTGACTGGGAAGAAATAAAAGCTTTTCAGCAAAGCTTTGATATGAAGAGCCACTTCACAAAGCATGTATAGATGTACAGTTGTATGTCTTGTAAACAGTTGTAGTTGATTTCTTTTTTTTTCCAAATTTGGTGTCACCCAACAAAGTCAATGTGACTTTCCCTCATTTTTAAGCTGCCTTGTTTTCATTTTAATGATGAAATCCATTTAAAGAGGAGTTAAACATTTAAGGATAAGGCTAATTAAGTTCAACAAGTCTCATGAAAAGGACCAAACCAGTTATATTATATGTAATATTCTCTGTGTGGGATATTCCTTTGTACCACACAGCTCTACTGTTGTCCAAACACAATTAAAAACACATCGGTGAACCTTAGCTTTGCACTGGGGAGACATGTTCCTTCATTACCATGAATATGGACACTGTAGTTTAACTTAACTCAGTTCCTCATGCATCGCTTTGCTCTAGGAAATACTCACTAGAGCAGCAAATTTGTATTAAATAGTCTGCAACAGTCATCATAAAACTACAATGCCCTGTGGTTTTAGCAAATTACCGAGCAAAGAAGATGAAACAGCATTATTGTGATCCGTTCTTAAAGATTTACACCTTCAGTAGGAACCGATGGGCCTGGGGATCTGCTGACATTAAGGAGAACAAAGAATGAAACCAGCCTTGTCCTTTAAAGGCTTTCACAACTGAGGAAAGTTATCATATGTCAAAATGTGTTTTCTAGGTTTCAGGAGCCTAAAGAGCACCACGATGACCGCAAAGAAACAATGCTGAAAATCTATGATGACAGCACAATAGCAAAGGAAGGTCAAGACAGGTACTGACGCATACTGCATGTACAACTGTAGTTTTTTTTTAATGTAAAACCTGGTATTAGACAGAATTTAACATAAAGTCAAGTTTCTATGTACACATGCAACTGCAGTACATCGAGGTACGTTAGCTACAGAAGCAGATATAACAAGTTAACGAGCCACTGTGAAGCATAAAAATGGTTTATTTTATATTTCATTTTACTTTATACAGTATAATGATTTAAGAACTGCACTCATTCATAAAATGGTTCTTCTCACTGAAAGATAATTAAAGGTTTGATTTGTGTTTCACTGTAGGGACAAAGTTTATTTGCAGAGCTAAGGGAGAAAAAGGAAAGTATTCTGTACATGATCTATAGTTTTCCTAGTAATTTATGTCCTTGGTGATAAATTGGGTCTCTTATAAATGCACAAAAAAATAGTACAAATATCCACAAATCATTTAAATGTGTGATAATGACTACTCTAAATATTCAGATTAACCAAAGTCTCTGGCATCAGAATAGCATTATGTAATAAATACTTGTTGGATTTTGGAGTGAGGCTCTTCATTTACTCTTGTTGACAGTGACAGCCAGGGCAGCGTCACAGACGAGTCAGGGGAGAGCTCTGTCAAGAACAATCGTCCAGGCAGGCAGAGGGGCCTCACAGACACGACCAGCCACAGTGAGATGCCTTCATAAACACCATGTCCGCCTCTTCTCCCCCCTGCCCCTTTGCAGTCATGGTTCCTATTTCAACCATAACAAGCCCAGGATGGTACAGTATGTACTCGGCTGTCCAGATTCTATACACATCATTTTTTCATCAGCAGGGAGCTGTCAACAGCTCCGAGACGAGCCCTTGGATTGACACTGACTGGATGTAAACATAGAGATCAATGACTCACAGCTGTCAGAGCCTGACACGGACAGCCTCCTTGTTCAAAATGGACAAACATAACAATCCCATGAAGAATTCCTCTGGCGCTGTTTAGGAGCCATGGACCTCTTTAACACAGCGACAGACTGTTGTTCTGTTTGTGCTTTGACTGTTAAAATGATAAATATGCTGAGTGTAAATTGTCACTGTCTTTTTTTCTACAAGTGTTGAATTGCTTTTAGCAGAATCTATTCTTTGCATGAAACATTTCTGTGGAGGCTGGAGGCTGATGATGAGTGACCGCCCAGGTCTGAAGATCTTGATGATTGTTGAACCGGTGCGACAGCAAGTGCAACAGTGTGTGTGTCACTCTGGGTGTCAGCGCAGGTCTCATATTGATGTGTGCAAGCATTAATCTCCTCCAAAATGAAGCGGTCTTCCCCATGATTGTTTCTGGAGAAGACCAACCCCCCCCCCAGAAATGACAGAAGTGTGTGAAAGTTACTGGCCTTAACCCCAATCTCCTGCTCAGCCTACATTCAACTAGGTTTGCCTCTTTTCCTCTCCCTTCTCCTGCTTTCTGCCCTATATATTCTTCTTAATTAATCATGTCAGTGATTTACACAAAAAGTGGAACATAAAGTTATTTACTATACTGCTGCAAAAGCAGGGTGAGCTAGTAGAGCTGCCTCATATCACCAGACAAATGTGAATTTTAAGTGGTTCCAGAAGATAGTGCTGCTGACTGTAAAACATTTTGAAGGACTTTCTTTTTCTGCCAAGAAAAACGGTGTCTTTAAGAAACAGCTTAGTACACAGAAGCGATTCAAGGTGAAACCTCCCCACCTGCTAGCAGCACAGAGACAAGGACGACCCCTGTTCTCTGCTCAGGTAAGGCTGATAATGAGGAGCTAGACTTCAACAAACAGAAGTTATTTACTTTACATAGTCGGAGCTAAAGTGGGTTTGTTCAGAGCTACAGCTCCACAGCAACTATTGGGGTCACGCTGGCCTTAAGGAGCAGTCCTGCTCTGCAGAGGAATCAGAAGTGCAGATTCATTAAAAATACATCTGTGACAGCAGAGTAACAAATGGCTGTGCCTGTGCTCTGGTCCTGTACTCCCTCCCCATGGTCATTCATCATCGGCACTCATCGAAGCACCTCCTCGTTCATTGTTCATTATTCTCTCCTTCTCTCTCAGGCTCTGCTCAGCTCCCTCGCATACGGAGAAAATACATAAAACTCCAAAGGTTATTTTGCTCCAAAAAAGGTATTTCTGAGAGGCATTTGTGACACATTCAGAGGCGAGATTCACAGAGAGATGGTTCTCCTTTGTTAACAATTAAGACACCTTTGCTCCATTCACTTTACAACAGGATAGACTAAAGGAAAAACCCTCATTCAAGGCTGCATTTTAAACACAAGTCTTCATCATCATGTTAATGAGTAGCAACATTAAAGATAGAAAAGAGAGACGAGATAAAATTAAAGTTTAAAAATCTGAGTGTTAAAAATGGGTCACTGAAGAAATAAAAGAGTGTGGCATTAAAATGAATACTGGATTTCCAGTATAATAAATATGAAAATACAGTCACAGGTTTTAATTATGCTGCATTCAAAGCTTGCTACTTGTATACTGAACTTGGGCACATTTACATTTTCATATATTTGCTATAGTTTGGATTGTGGCTATAAAAGCATGTGATGAGTCAATCCAACTTGTTTCTTTTCATTTCCAACAAACAAAACCAGTAAATCAACTGATCAATTGGTTCTTTGCCCACCGGTGAGGGATGTGTTGGCCCCTTCTCTGCCCTCTGCTGTGGACAGAAGGTGGTTTGAAATCAATTTTTATGTCATCGTTGGTGACAGATGCAGGAGGCCGCATTGTGAAAAGGGCAAAGGGTTGAGGGAGCTCCCCTGTGGGGCCTCGAGATGCTTGAGGCATAAAAATGTCATTCCTGAATCAATTTCACATATGAACACTGGTTTAATCTCTGAGGGGTTCTGAGCCAGACTTCAGGCATCAGGTGGGGGTTCAGTAACAATGTTCAGTTTATGGATACTCCATTACTGTCTTTCCATCCAAGCCAGGGATTCATTCTTCTGTGCACCTGAACTCAGAGACATGTAGGTCAAAGTATATTCTTTATCACTCAGTGCCTCCATGCTGGTAATTCACTCGGGAGTCATAGCCAAAGGTTTCCATTTGACCCCAGAGGCTTTCAGGGCCATATTTATATTCCTTTGGTCCTATTTCTGGAAGTGTGTCAATTAAAAACAAACATGCCACCTGCATCTTATTTGTATTGATTTATTTAAAATATTTAAATATGCAAAGACATTTTGGGAGTTGGGGCTCAGTTTTAAAGGCTAGTTTACACTGAGCTCTTGTTTTCTGAAAATCAATTAATAAACAGAAATGGTGAGGGGAGAGTGTGGAAAACTGAACCTAACAGTCTGTGTTAAATTAACATTATGAATTAAGGTTGTAGGACTAAGATTGTGTATTGAGTCTTGATGTTATTTGAAATTGTATTTATCTCAGACACCACAGACAAATCATTTGTCTTATGTGCACTGCATTTTCTGTATAAAACTGATAAAGAAGTAAACGTTTGGTTCACTGTTGTAGCTTTTCTAGGGTCTAAACAACATAAAATACTTTAAACTCTATTGACCAATGTGATTTCAGAAATATGTCACTTCAGGACGCTGTGAATAAGACATTTAATGCTGTGTTGGAAGTCTGCAGTCTTTCTCTCTGGAGATGGTTGCTAATGCAGTAAGAGAGCTGACAAATTGAGTTCCTTTTATTGCATTGAACAACGAGGGCAGCAAGTGAGCGTGTCCTTGACTCGGAGGAATCACAGGTGTGAGCCTCAGGATGCGTCAGACCCGCACACATGCAAGACTCAGGAGATGCAGCCCAGCGGCTCCTTATTAATCAATAGCTTGTTGGGCTGTTGGTGTTTCCCACCTCCCCTACTTTTCACCTCCTTCCTTCTTCTCCCTCTCCAATATCCACCCTCTCTTCTGTTTTCATTTTCAGCCACAGACTCCCATTCTGGTTCAGAGTGGGGCACAAACGAACTAACACTGGTTCCCTGTTAATAATAATACAGGAAAAAAGAGTGGTAAAGAAGGCACTACAGGGTTCAGCTAGGACAAGGTGGACAATAGGGTAAAATGTGCATAGCTGAGTTGGGCATATTGGGGGGGGGGGGCATAGATTAGGAGAGCTTCTTGGAACTAATAATTTTAAGACAATAAAGACGGTGCTCTTTGGCCGAGGGAACTTTCTTAAGCAATGACTGTATGTAACAGAACAGAGATGTGCTGACCACAGACAGGCAAAAAAAAAACAACCAAACAAAAGTTAAATGCCTGCATTATACTGGCAAATTCTAGAAACGCAATGTGATTAACAAATAACTTTGACGCATTTCAACTTCTAACCTTCTTCAAGAAGCTACAGACCAAAGCCTGGAAGGCAAACTTAAGTAGACAGAGGAAGTAACTAGCAGGTGAAATCAACCGCTCACTTTGAGAAAAACTAATGGAGAATATGAAGAACCTGGTTAAAAATCCTGGCAAATTAGAAACATACATTTGTGTTTTTGTAAGTTGTGCAGTGCCTGATTCACTCAGTTTTATGGATAGCTGTTGGCTGATGTACCTGTAGATGTCAATATGTCAGTGGACTGACAAGTGGATAATTCAACAACTTCATCTAGCCAACATCTCAAACTTGGATTAAATTTACATACAGTATATATCTATTTTATTTGTAACTATTACTGTTTTTTCTACAATATTATTTGACAGAATGGTCACACACTTGTTGGTTACAGGAAAAAAATGGATGCACAATATTTTATGAGACTATTTCTTGGGTGTGACATTGTTTTGTCATCAAAATGTGGTGTTAAATGTTGACGCTGACAAAGAAAATGGCTGGCTGTAGCTGTACTATGAGGTCCTGAACATGCCATAGTGGTGCAGGCAAATATTAGTACTGTATGTGTACATGACTGCCTTGTAGAAATGAAAGTCATCAGAGACACAAGCCTTGACTAGACGTTCACATTCTGTGTGTACTACAGCAGTACTTTGTAATTTATTGAAGTACACTTGTTATTACCTGGGGTGTGTGGAGGGTGATTTCAGTTACTTTAATTACAGCACAGTGCAAAAGGCAGCAGACAGAAAATAAGTTTTTGTCTGTCATGGCAGTTTTTAAAAATATTTTTAACATTCCTGTGCCATTTTAGGTCAACTACATTAGCGATGTTATGCAGGGTATTGTATCTAGTGGCTGAAGTGTGTTTGGGTGGGTTTTGGCTCTCACTGAAAATGGGTTAAAAGTGGTCTCCGGGAATGTGCACAGTGAAGTGAACAAAGCAGGACAAATACACTGTGCTGAATAAATAAAAGCAGGGCAGTAAAGATATCAGAGCAGCAGGGTGAGAGTAAATAGACACATGATGGAGAAGAAGAATAAAAAAATACCTGAGAGAAGAGCAGAGAGATTTTCAGTTTCAAAATGCTTAGGTATTTGTGCATACAGATGCAAATGTCATGTAAATCCTCTATGCATGGTTGTTTTTTTATGTAAAAACAACTCCTCACACTTTAAATCAATACCAACCTTGACAAATATGATCAGTCATAAAAACAAAATCTGAAAAAATCAGGATCAAAATTAAAGTAAAACTGCAGGATTTTCATACATTTACATCTTTGTATCTTAGAGTAGTCAAACCCTGTGCCTTTTTAATATTATTTCCCTCAGAGCAAGTGATGTTAATGTTTAATGTATTTTTTACAGTTTACAAGAATGAAACTTGCATGTTTTTTGATATTGACCTGTTGTAAAGCTGATTGTATCTTGTAATTTAGAAAGCCTGTTACTGGGCTTTACATAGGATTGAACATATTGTCACTTTTCCCTGTGTTCTAAGAACTCAGCTCACTTCATTCATGTTTATTCAACCAGATGCAGGGTAATTAACTCAAGAGGTTTCACCTGTATGCAGTGTTTAAAGAAGCAGCTGTAGTGTGAGGCTCTGGTCCTGGTGAAGGCAGAATGGTCAAAAATGTTCCGTCTTCTCCCAGAATAAGGTGATTTCTTGTCACTGAGTGTGATCCTAATTTATAAATACAGTTTAAAAGACAACATTATTTAATAGATATCAAGTAGGAATTGACTGAACTCTGTGTGATGATATTTCACAGTAAAATATTGTTGCCATTCTGCAGATGTTTCTCAATCCACATTCAGCTGCCCTATTCATGATCTAGGGACGTAAAAAGTGCAGCAACTGATTCTGACCTTAGATCAGTGGTGGTGCTGTAAGTGGATATTACAGTACTATAGTGTAGTGTAGTGATTTAGCAGGGAGTTCCTATACAAGTCCATATATATAGGCTCATTGCATGTGTAACTAGCAGGGTTATAGTTTGGTCACAAAAACAATCTAGACTACTGTATCTCAGTATATAAACTGAATTAAGGTTTATTAAGACACTGTGTAAGTAAAAAAGATCTTCTTTTGGCTGTTCTCATTAGGGGTCGCCACAGCGAATCATCTGTTTCCACCTAACTCTATCCTCAGCATCCTCTACTCTCACTCCAATTAACTTCATGTCCTCTTTTAGCACATCCATATATCTCCTCTTTGGCCTTCCTCTTGACCTCTTGCCTGGCAGCTCCATCTCCAACATCCTTCTACCAATATAACCACTATCCCTCCTCTGCACATGTCCAAACCATCTCAATCTGGACTCTCTGACCTTGTCCCCAAAACAGCCGACCTGAGCTGTCCCTCTGATGTGCTCATTCCTAATCCTGTCCATCCTGGTCCCTCCTAAAGAGAACCTCAACATCCTCATCTCTGCTACCTCCATCTCTGCCTCTTGTCTTTTCCTCACTGCTACAGTCTCTAACCCATACAGCATAGCTGGTCTCACTACTGTCTTGTACACCTTTCCTTTGATTCTTGCTGCCACTCTTCTGTCACACAACACTCCTGACACCTTTCTCCACCCACTCCAACCTGCCTGCTCTTGCCTCTTCACCTCTTTCCTAAACTCCCCATCACACTGGACTGTTGACCCCAAATACTTAAACTCCTGCACCTTCTTGACCTCAGCCCCCTGTAACCTCACTGCTCCACTTCCAAGATACCCCTTATAATTCATATAATTCAAACCAGGGTACTGCTACTACTACTACTACCGCAGGTCACATGTCCACAACATAGCCAACATAGAAGCAGGTGACAAATTACAAAAAAAAAAATCCAACATAGTCGGGCCACCACATGGCACCAGAGCAGCTTCAGTGCTCCTTGGCGCTGACTTTATAAGTCTCTGAACTCTACTGGGGGGATGAACACCATTCTTCCAAAAGATATTGCCTCATGATACTCTCCCATAGCTGATCAACTGGGTTGGACCTGGTTACTGTGAAGTCCACAGCATATGATTCACATCATTTTCATCCTCATCAAACCATTCAGTGACCCCTCATGTCTTATGGATGGGACCACTCCCATCAGGACAGACATGTTTCATTACAGGATAATGGTGATCACTCTAGGGATTTGCAGTGACTCTTCCCTCTAGGGGGACAAGTGGACCAAAACATGTCAGCATCTGTAGTTGTTATATTTCTCCACTCATTTATTCGGGTTTTCCCTTTAACTTGTCTCCTGTCTGTAGTTACCACATCTCTGTTCTGTTACATACAGTCATTGTGATTTCAAAACAGGAACATTTAACACTTTCGAAAGGAAAGTGGCCGTTAAATACAGGTCCAATCATCAAGTCTTTAGTCACAGTGTCTGATTTCCTCACACTTTATTATAACTCTTAAGTAGTTTGCACACTAAAACTGAGTGCACACTTCACACAATACTGCAGTTACACACACTGCTAACTGAGCACCAATGACTGCTGAACATGACAGGGTTTAAAACCCTTTGTTTAACACTGGGTTCAGGTTACAAGAGCATTTATGGCAGTGTAATGACCCTTCACTTGTAACAATAACTAATACATTTGATCTTTTCATACAGTGCTAGATATGACAGTCATCTTAAAAGAGAACTTTCACACATATCAGCATTAGACACAGTAAATGATTGTGTGCTGCACTGCATGCAGGTTCTGCTCCGTTGTGAAAAGAAATGCCTATGGCTCCAAGTCTTGAACTCAGTCAACATACTTTACTGCTCTTATTATTTAGAAAGCACAGATGACATGATACTGAGCATTCATTTCAGGTCTCCTCTGTTAAACACTGTCCAGGGCTTTAAGCATTTCTGGGCCATCAAGCAAAGACTAACTGGAAAATTACATACTGCATACAAGGACAACAAGGAGACGCAGAGAGAGACATCTGTAAAAATGGCTCATTTGAAAACATGAACTGACACAACTCCTGCACACACACACACACACACCAGTTCCATTCAACACCTCTCTATTAACAATAGTAGGCAGTAACAACAATAACACAGGAGTAACATGGGGGGGCACAGCAGTGATCCACCAGCTCAGCAAAAACACTGTAACCTTTGAAGAGAAAATTAAAATGGGTTTAATTATGCCACATTTTATCTTAATGGGTTACCATAAGAAAACTGTTTGCAGTGCTGCACTCTGCAGCAGACCAATTGTACAAAGCACACAGATGATGAGGAATCAACTGTAAAAATTGTACTGCTGCATAAAAAGTCAGAAGAAAATACTGCGTTGTTCACTGCCTGGTTCTCTCAGTATGTGCGGACTCCTGGTTTATTTCCCTGGGCCTGGTTGAAGGGATGCGCTGGGCCAGAAGACTCATCCTGATGGTCAATGGCCTGGTAGCTGTCTCTGTTTTGTGACACAGTGGGGAAACCTGCAGAGACAAGCCAAACATCTTCAACACAAACAACCCCTGCCATGCAAATGCAATATCCATTGCCATATCTAATCAAGATACTTGTTTTGGAGCACAGACTATTGCGGGAGAAGACAGAACAGATGTATTCATAGAACAAGAGAAGGAAAGAATAAAAGAAAGCTTCCTCATAACATCCCCTAAGGGTTTCTTTTTTTTTCCTCCTTGGTTTTAGGGCTTCACATTCATTTATTCTCACACACCTGCTGAAATTTCACCCCTCTTAGTGATTTTAGGTTCACTACTGTCTGATCAGCTTCTTGAACTGTGGATGTTTAGATTTCGAGGAGAATCTGGACACAAACAACTATCATCACTGTACAGGTCACCAGTTTATCACAGGGCTGACATGTAGACAAACAACCACTCACACTCACTCCTAGGGGCAATTTAGAGTCGCCAGTCAACCTAAGCTGCATGTCTTTGGACTGTGGGAGGAAGCTGGAGCACCCGGAGAGAACCCACACAGGCCCCGGGTCGGTACAGGCTCAAACCTGGAACTTTCTTGCTAATCACTGTCTCGCTGTGCTGCCCCTCATCACGTCAGTGAGTGTGCAAAACCTCCCACAGCTTGTCTGACAGGAGCAGTCTGCAAACATGTAATCCAGAATCTTTGCATACAAATACCCGTCTGCACCATAAGTCATGTAAACATAGTTAAAATTCATGTTTTTGGTAGTTCAAAGGCCTGCACACATACTGTACACGTCTGCATGGCCCAAATATGCACATAAAAATAGGACTCTTACTGTCTGCAGAAGATTTAGATGAATTTCAAAAATATACATTATTTTGCTTTCAGCTCTCTAGTTAATGGTTTTATTTCATTTAAAGCATAGAAAAGCAGAAATCATTTTAAAGAACTGCATCACATTGGTTTAAAAAAATCTTAAATTACCTGCTTTCTTCTAAGTGTGCATGTAAACAGGTACATTCATTGTCAACATTATGTTCACTTTAGTTAGACTGATATGAGAATGAGCACCAGTGTGCAGCTCTGCTATGAATGTATATGCACACAGAACACACAAACAAGTAGGACATCTGGAGAGTAAAAATGTGAACAAAACATAGATGCAAACTGGTAGAAACATCTATAGCATATAATACAATAGACATGAAAACAAATACACTGTGCTGACAAACAGAGTTATGCAGGCAGGTCATAAGAACTGAGGGTTCAACAGACATTTGAAAAGACAGATGAACATAAATAAATACAAAGAACATGATGGAAAACTCAACATTAACATGACAACTACTGGAAAAAGAAATACTTTGTGTGTGGAAGGGATGGAAGAGGATGACTGAAGGAGAGAAATGGCAAAAAAGAAGCCAGAGATCAATAGCGGCGACCAATAAAGGCACTGTCAGCACTATCCGTAGTGCATCGACTGTCCACAGAGGTCTCTAAGTCTGAGAGGTCAGATGAGGAGAGGAGAGGAGAGAAAAGAAGAGAAGAAATGATCAAATCATACCAGGAAAAACAGAGACACTTGACAAAAAACACATGACCTTGAAGCATGACAAAGAGCAAAGACTGAAGTTAGAAATGATGACATGCAGGAAAAGAACAGGGACAAATTTGTTGACAAATTCTCACTAACACTACATGTAACCACACAAAATAATGTGGTTCACTGTAGATACAATAACTTTAAATTAGCCTTGGAGGTGGTTAATGGAACTACTGTAGTAAGCTAACATGCTAATGTTTGCTGCTTATGTCACAGCAGACAAACAGTGTTTAATCCATCCATCCATTATCTATATCGCTTAGTCCTGAACGGGGTCGCGAGGGGGCTGGAGCCAATCCCAGCCAACATCGGGCGAGAGGCGGGGTACACCCTGGACAGGACGCCAGTCTATCACAGGGCCAATGTTTAATCCATCCCTTGCAATTTTGCAGCAATCCTCACTAGTCAGACTACTGCGCTTACTTCACAGTGCCATTGCTTCAGCATGTTAAATCCACTGTTTAGCAAACAGCTAAATTAACAGCAAATGTGTGACTGCTCAAACTTGCCAGCTTGTATTATGCAATATAAAAGTAAACCTTCAGGGAGCTGTGGATACCTGAATCAACAGTTGACTAACATGAACCTGTCTGCCTGCATCCCAGAGTGCTCACTGCAGGAGGGAACCATATTAACGCCAGCTATGCAATCAGAGAGCAATTAAAACAGATACCGTCTGAAACTAACATTAGCTACATCCAACAGTCGCTACGCAGCCAATCACAGCCTGACGAACGTACCTGCTGTGTCTATGTGGTGTTTAAAGTAACACCAGAGAGATCAGATCAATCAGTGTTCTGTTATCTTCCAAAAAAACAAAACAACATCTAATCAGGCGATGTGAAGGCGGCAGTGCATGAGTTTTCTCAGTGTAAAACATTGCTACTGTAGCTGGTAAAATTACATTTAACAATGAGAAAAGTCATTGTTAGCACTGTAACCCCAAGTGTTGTTTAGTTTTGTAATTTTTGTTATTCTTCTCCTTCTGAAGCCAAACACTGAACAACTCTAGCCCACTAGCCCTGTATGTATCTCACTACTACCAACAAATCAGACCCTACAACTGATGATGAATCTGTCCATCCATTATCTATACTGCATATTATTGAATAGGGTCACGGGCTGGAGCCAATCCCAGCTGACATTGGGTGAGAGGCAGGGTCCACCATGGACAGGTTGCCAGTCTATCACAGGGCTGACATGTAGACAAACAACCACACACACTCACACTCACTCCTATGGGCAATTTAGAGTCAGCGGTCAACCTAAGCTGCATGTCTTTGTACTGTGGGAGGAAGCTGGGGTACATGGAGAGACTGATGATGGTAATGAATATAACCACATTGTGCTAGTCCATAGAGATGGAACCATGAGTATCTTTTTTAAGAACCTAAGAGTCCAGCGGATGTCACAGCTCAGTAGGACTTCAGATGGAAAAGCTGTCTGCAATTAAGTTCTCATGACTGTAACTAATTAGTTCAACAGCGGAATCATCTGTCAGTGCTTCATTGCACAGTCCTGTGCACAGTTTGTTCTGCACTTGACAGGTGTTTCATGACAAACAGCATGAACAACACAGGGAAGTTCTCATAGCGTCCCTGGCACCATACTACCTCTGGCTTTGGTCACACACCAGGGGTTATTTTTTGTGGACAGCGGAAAACGTCACTTCGACCCATTTCGTATAAATGTACTTGTGTAACTCACTAGATGAAACCTAGTTTTTATGCCTCCGTGCACCAGATTGATGAACTGATTAAATTTTTGTTGCCAAATGTCAAAGGTCAAGGTCACATTGACTTCACGTTCATCTCATTCTGTCAGAAATGCCCTGAAGGAATTTCATCAAATTTGGCACAAATGTCCACTTGGACTCAGAGATGAACAGGTTAGCTTTTAGGGGTTAAGGGTGGTTTGACTGGTTGGCAGAGGCATACAACTGTGAAATGGTAACTCCTGCATTTATGTTCTATATTTTAAACTACAAGCTAACATTTACCAACTCTTGTGACACATGGCAACATCTTGAAAAGCTCAGAAACCTCCGATGTTACAGTATTTGACTCATCTTGTAACTCTTACCAAAGTTAATGTTGTAATCTCCTCCACGTTCACGATACATCTGGTACACAAAGAAGCAGGATGCGGGTTTGAGCAGCAGGCTCAGGATGGCCATTCCCTCGCTGAAGCGAAACACGCTCCCTAGTTTCTCTATCGCAATGTCACTGTGAGAATAATAGATACCAAAATGGATGATGTCCGTCAATATGGTCAGGATCATCCCCATCAGAAACTACAGGGAAATAACAAAACAGAAAGAAGAGTCTTACTGAACACAGATAGTGTGTCAAGCTTTTAAATGTCCAGTACATTCAGTGCTGTGTGAGAAATAAAGTCATTCCAATGCTGACGAACGTAGCTTTCTGAGGGGAAATGGGATAAAAATCTAACTGCATACACACTGGAAGAGGTGGTGCCAGCAAGATATAATGAAAAAGCAGACAGAGCAGAAGTAAAAACGAGGGGGGAACTCAATTTAGAAATTTCTTTTTTGCACTTATTAGCTTGGAGAGTCAACAACATTTTGTGGAGTGAAAAATAATTCTCCAAAAGCCAAAATATGAAAGAAAATATGACTGAAATATGTGATTAGTTGACAAAAAGAACAGTCGAAATCACTCCAGACACTTAAGAAAGTGAAGCCAGGAGGTCATTCAAAATAAAATCATAAATGATGGAGGAGGACTATCTCCCAAACCTACAGCTGAGTGACTGACTGAATGAATGAATGAATGAATGAGTGAGCGGTTGATTGAACACTGAAGATATGTCAGTCCACAGTCAGTCAGTCAGTCTCAGACAAAAGGCTCCTTCCTGTGGGACTCTGGATGTGAGCGACCAAAACCCTGAACTTTACACTTGGTAAAATGTGATTGCTCGACAGTGGCACTCACAACTGAAAGAGACACTGGGCAGCTAGTTCCTCTCAGAACTCTCATCTGTAGTGAACGTGTTTGCTAAGTGTCACACCTCTGGGACCTGTTCCACAAATAAACACGTCTACCATGGCTTAGATCAAACTGATGCTTGGACTTCTTATAGACGTCTAAATTCATACAAAAGCTGTTGTTAAATAAGACTGATCTGCTATGAATTGACATTTTCAAAGTAAAAACATGGCTGACTGTGCAACCACATCAGACCACTGACTCCCGCAGAAGAAGAACTCAACAGTTACAAGGACATTTTACTGGGAAAAGTCAGTGAAAATGTAGCAATGCAAAATTCACCATTAGTGTAAAATCTCAGCCAGTGCAGACCTAAAGACAGTTTCCTTGGCAAATAAAAATGACTGTCACTGCTATGGCCTCGAAAAACTTGTCTCTTTCTTATTACTCCCTCTGCAAAAATGTTAGAAATCAAATTATGAGCCAGGTTTTGTTGTCTTTTTTTTTTGTCATTTTGTACCTCCGGTCAACATGGCTCTTAGGTGTAAGTTAGCGTTGCAATAGGGTGAGGCTAACTTCTTAAATTGGCACAATTTCTATCGTTGTGAAATTTGCATCAGACTAGTCTGACAGCAAAAGTAAAACGGGCTCAGCAGTACAGATCAGCCTAAACATCTTCATCCCCTGGTGTTGTAAACTGACACACTATGAAAGCCACAGTTATAGTCCTCTGTAATGAATTAAGGGAACGTCAACTGTCTTCGTTGGATGTTCACAGATTGTGGTGTTTGCATGGTGTTTGTGCCTATAGTTACTAGACTCCTGTACGTGTCATATCATGTTAAGATTACAGCTTGTGATGAGGAGGCAAAGACTCACCATGAGCACAGCATCTACTGAGTCCCTCTGTGCAATGGCCCAGACTCCCACTGCTAAAACAGTGAAGTTCCCCCAAGCAAAGGAATCGGGCAGCCACACCATGCACCCCCTAAAGAGCAGACAGTTTATACAAGACAGATCTGTAGATATTCTTTAATAATTATGTTTAAATACACAAAGGATGAGACGTGCAGGTAAAAGAGTAGGCCTGAATCACCACCGAGAGTCTGTTTCTGGGGAGCGTGTGTGTGTGTATGTGTGTGTGTGTGTGTGTGTGTGCCAGAAGAGAAGAGAAATTCCTCAAGATTGTGAAAAAGTCCTGTGCTCACACTCACCATATTGTAAGCAGCCAGTGCACCAGTACTATGGCCTGTGACAGACAACAAAAGATTGTGTTTAAAAGAAGGTTAGGACTGGAAAAGTCTTTTTAAAACTTTCCAGGACAGTTTAGTCTACTTCTGAAATCAGTCTCAAGAAGAATAATAACCAGTTCATTCTGATTAATCATTTATCCACAACACACCAGTTGCAGCTTCTCCCCTGTATGGATCTGGTGCTTCTTACCTGTTTTATTTATGTACTTATGTACGGTATGTTTCGCAATTAGTAGCATTTTCTGCCAGTTTTAAAACACAGGTGGTCCACACAGAGAAACAAGATATTATTTGGTTCTTGTGATAAATAATATAACAATTTTGTGCCATATCCAGCGATTTTTGTCAGGCCTGTTCACAAATATACTGTATTGTGTTAATATCTTCTATAAACAGATTTATCACTACAGTGTGTTTCCATTTCTCACATTCAGTAAAGGTATTAAGTCTGTATACAGGCCTGCTGTTCATCACTGAAAGCAAGTCAGGGGTGTCCATGGTGTCCAGTTGCACTTTACATAATTTGATTGTTGTATTTAGCATTTTTTGTACAACTTAACAAAAACCCACCAGCAACGATACAATATGCTACTTACTGTAATGTGACCAGTGTCTCAAGAGGAGGCAGGTGATTATCACATAGAGGAATTACCAAAGAACTGAGCAATAAATCTGACATCAACATATAATTTAACACCGGTCTTTGTTTTTTTTTAAAAATAAATAAATACAGAAGGCTACACTTTAAACATGAACTAAACAGAAACCTCACCTTTAGATTTATAGCAGGGATTTCCATAATAGCTTTGGTCAGAGAAGCTCTACTTTAATCCGAGTCAGTGCTTCAACTTGTTGCGTGCATGAAAAACTACTGTGGGTTCACACAAACTTCTCCACAGAGCTTTTGCTTCTCTCTACGCAGCCTGCAAACACAAACCATGTGACAGCAGCTGACTGCTTCCCATGTGACTTCTAGCTCATCACCCCCTCCTGCCTGTACCTCTGCTCTTCTTCTTCTTTTTATTTAAATGTGGGTGGCATCCAACATTAAGGTGCATTTCCACCACCTACTATACTGGAGGGTGGACCAGAGTTATTTCTACCCATGTTTTAGGAGAACAAACCTACTCCTGCTTCTGCTGCCACTCTGGCTTTCAGCCTGCTCAGAGAGAAGGAAACCACAGAAGCACCAACACTGGTGTCACACATGTTTTACTCCAGCTTTAGTTAGTGTGGTGTCCATCCAGTGGTTCACTGTGTGTATTAGAACATTTAAAAAACATAAAACTGTCTGCCCAGTTTGTCAGTTAAACTGACTGAAAAGATTTACAGGTATAAAAAAAAATGCATGAATTACAGCTATTTTATATTTTTCTAATTTTACTTGCCAGCTGAACAACTCACAACACATTGCAGCAGCAGTGGGATACTTAAAAAAGGACTGGTGACTGATGAGGCACCATTATTTTTAAACTGATTACGGTGGCAGTAATTTGTGTCCAAAACACGTGCCAAATGTCAACATCATGGGAAAAGCTGAAAGTGACATTCATACTATTACAATGCAGAAAAAGAGAGGGAAGTAAAGGAACCCTGCCACCTGCTGGGTCTGGGTCTAGCCACAGCACCTCATCAGCATCACAGAATGCCGTCTATGGCAAGGGAAGCAACACCTGAGTGTTGAATACAGCCCTGGGCAGCCAGGACATCAGTATAACCACATGCCTCATCCATTGCCTGTAACAGAGCCATGCATGTGTAGAACTGTTTGTCATATAACTTCCACCGCTATGCTGGAAAGAAGTGAACAAGTACCCACCTGTGGTCTTTTTTATAGCGACAACATCCTGATTTACAAGTCAACAAATAAGCATTTAGGTGTTTGGCCAGGTGGCACAAGTTTTTTCTAGTTGGTCCTGGGTTGCTTGTTCAATGGCAGGGCTTTGAAATGGCAAATAAGTGACATTATGGCAGATGTCTGTGTCTAGTGTGTGCAGTGTTGTGCAAGTATTATGTTAAACTGCAACATGGGTGCAAAGCAGAAGATGTGTTTCCGCATGTTGAGCTGAGAGTTTGCTCTCTGAGTATCACTTTTGTTAGCTGTCCTATGTGTGTCAAATCAGTGTGTTAGCAATTGACAAAAAACTAGATGAGATGATTTTAACCATTAGAGGAAAACTGGTACTTGGTATCATAGATACAGTATGACTGGTCGTAGTCAGGCCATAGAATTTCATCCATATCACATAAGAGTAACCCTTGCCTCAGTGTAGGAAGTGTGCTCTGATGTGCCTTATCCGCCCTTGGATGGCTTCCAAGGACACATCCCTACAGGTGTTTTCCACCAAAAGATTTTCCCTTATGTAAGGGATTTTGCCCACCATCATGCTGAGTATGAATATATGCAATATGCAGGTCAGAAAAGATCTGTGAATGTGAGTCACCAGAGCAGCCTGAAACTAACATTACCCCAGATGATAAGGTTCTTGCTGTTGAGGATGGCTGAAAGGTGATCTAGGAATGCAGGTAGATGTGTAGTGTTATATGGACCTAAAGTAGCACAGCATGACAGTGGAGGACCCCTCGATTACTTATAGCCGTCTTGATGTTCCAAAGCACACAGGGACTCCAACTGGATCCTGCAGTTCTGATTGGTGTATCACAATCTCTGTGTCTTAGTGTTTGCACCTGGAAAAATATAAAAGTTTGTTCACTGAATTTAAAGGCTGATGACCTTTTTTGTACAGATGCAGATGTTTGCTGCATGAGCATATGGTGCAATGAATGATTCATTTGACCATTTTGTGTAGAGCTTTGCAAGAACAAATATTGATGTGAATAGTGTTTACAGTTATAGGAAAAGTGTGCATCTTTTGAAAACTGAAGCAGGGGTATAAATCTTTGTGCTGAGGGAACCAACTATAGTGTGGTAGCAATCAGGAAACATCTGTAAAAAGGCAATCCTGATAATTAATTACTTACTAAGAAAGCCTTAAAAAAGCAAAGTCCCTTTGGCGTGTCAGTGATGTGAAGCTGCAGCTCTCGCTGGACGCAGCTGTGTGTAATCTATCACTGTGCTGGCTTTTGGCCAGGTTTCAACAGGGCACTCCGCCGGAGCACTCCGTCAGAGGTAAGTATTAAAAATACATCACTACTGCTTTTATTCTGTGGCCGTAAATCAGC